CGGTGAAGCTTCAGACTCCGTGGAGGATTCTGCACACCTTGATCACCAGGTCCATCATTCCCAGTCTGAGAGCGGGCCACTTGATCACCTATAGAGGGTTGGTTGCCCTCCACTCCATGAAACACCCTGCAGAGCCACTCCATCTGGGAGTTGTGGTTGCTACCACCTTTGCCCGATGTTTGGGGCGGGATCGAGTGGACACAATGCACTTGGGGGGCATCATCAGCAGACTGACCCGCCACTTCGAGGTGGACTTGACGGGGTGCTCTATCATTGTCAGAACCGAGCCATTTCCAGTGGAGACACTCTAAAACATGAAGTTGGTGCTTCAAGGAGAGAGAAGGATCGAGTACCTCGACAGATTTAGACCTTCGGCGGCTCTAAGGATGATGGTCGACCCTGCTCCAGTGGAGCCTAATCCAGAGGTCCCTCCTCCCCAGCATCCACCTGCTCGAGCTCCCGGACGTCACCGGCGTGCCACACTTCCACGTCATGTGCTTCCACCACCATCAGCAGCATCATCATCTGGAGCCGATCCTCCCACCTCCAGGGATCACCTTGTAGAGCGGATGGATCGCCTCGAGACTCACGTTGTGGGAGTCACCACTAGGCTCGACCTCGCCACAGATTTGCTAGAGAGGATGGCTCGATTACAGGGTGTCCTTCAGGACGATGAGGAGGGACCTTCGACTCGTGTGAGGTAGCCGTCGAGTGAGACATGTGGCAGAGCCGATTTATTTCGCCCCACTTCTCCACTTGGAACTTTGAACTCTTTGATCTTTTTTGTTATTTTTCGTTCCTTTTATTCAGTGTGTGTGTGTGTGTGTGAACAACTAGTACTACCGCTATCGTATTGTTATGTGTAATAACCTCGCCTCGAGCGAGAATGTTTATGTTTGTGTTTGCTTTTGTCTTCTCCTTGAAGCTCTAATCTCCTACCCCGGGAAAAAATTCCAACTTTCACTCACCAAGCCATGCAGTAACATCGTTCTACCCCTATCTTACGCCATTGAGGGAAATGTCGAGCTTAAGTGTGTGTGTGTGTGTAGGGGGGTAGTTTATTATTATGTTTATGTGAGTGTGATTGAATTCTTGGATCCTTGATGCATGCCCAAATTTGAGGGCTCCAAGCAATGCTTTTATGATCAAAGTGGCCGGTTTGTGGGAGAATCTCGTGTTTATTGGCATTGAACTTGAATTGTTGCATGTGATCGAGTGTGTCCTATGATGATGACTGAGAGGTGCATTAGGATAGTGCAAAGGTTTAGTTCTCATGAGTGCATAATGAATGGATGTCTTGACTCGATTACTTGTTGATTACAATTGCCATGCATTGTGTTTTGTGAATTGGAATAGATGGTTGGGTGACTAGGTAGCCATGTGAGTTTTTAGTCGATCTTTTTCTTCTTGTGTGCTTAGATTCCTCTTACCATGGCGAGTAACATCACAATTGTCACTAGGGAGTATGATGGAGGCATAGGATTTGTCCATGCGCAAATGTTGATTATCCCAAAATATGATATCCCCTAGTCAACCCCTTTGAGCCTTGTGACTTTGGGGGTCGTTCTCTTGTAGGAGCTTTTCGCTTGTGAGCCTAATGGTGTTTGATAGAACGACCCCCCATCCTTTCTTCGTGTCTATACTTGAGTGGTCCTTGTGTCCCGGAGTTCGTGCTTTGGAGCTCCATTGAGGTTCTACATTGGAGGATTTTGCGCTGTTCTTGCTAGAAATGAAGAGGTAGTGTTGGAGTAAGTTCTTAATTGAGAGTATTGTTCGTTAAATGGTATGTATTTCACTCTCTAGTACCCCCCTCGAAAAGAAAAGAAAAGAAAAGAAAAGAAAAGAAAAGAAAAGAAAAGGAAACAAAAGAGGAAGAAGAAATAAAAGAAAAAGAATAGGTAATAAAATGGGGTAAATAAAGTAGAGAGTTGCCATAAAATCAAAGTGTATGCTCTAGGAAGGGTTTCTTGGCACTCAAGCCATTGAAACACCCAAATTGTTGTTGAACTCCTTCACTAATATGTTTGAAATGTGTTAGCAAGAATAGTCCGAGGAAGTGTGCTTGAATGTAGTTCGTTATGGGTGATAGTTTCGTTTGGAAGGAAGTAAAGTTTTTTGCCGATGCTAGTGGTCGTTGTGTGTAGGGAAGGTTCTTAGTCGAAGCCATAGAACCTTCGGTTTTAGGTTGAAGATGTAAGACCTCATGCTGTGTTAGCCACCACCCAAAAGGCATTTTCCCCATGTCCAAGACAATTGCCAGTCATTTGAACCCGTGTCTAAGACCTTCGGATAAGCTAGTGATGACAACCGTCCCGTTAACTCTAGCATTTAGAGGTTGTCTCCGTGGTGAAGAGACGTTAGGGCCGAGTGTTGATGATTGTGCACATAATTTGCACCAAATGGTCTCGACCCCACTGGTCAAGAGAGTGAGTGATTCATTCTTGTTTTGCATGTCATATTATACCCCGGTGAGGACCTTTGTTGCCCATTCATTTATTCCTTGGAATTGAATGTTATGCATGGTTAGTTGTGGTTGATGAGTGAACTTGTTGAGACTTGCATTGATTCATGAACAAGGTGAGAATTTTTCGTTTGCCCATTTTGGTGGCCTCGAATGTCGTTGTGGTGGAAGTCGGTATCGCTTGCAACGTTCCCTGTGTTAATTGCCAATAGCCATTAAGATTCACCACTTTGTGCACTTTGATTTGTCCCCAAAGTATTTTGTTTAGGTTGATATATTACCTTGTGTGAAATGGTTTGCATGGGAACAAGCAAAGGTCTAAGTGTGGGGGAGTGATTCGGGCCTAAATGTACACTTTTGATTCCCATTTATCTTTGGCGTTTGTGGCATTTGAGCTCCGAAAGGTGTGGTTTTACGCTAGGTTTTCCGTGTTTCAATTTGTTTCAGAGTCTAACAGGTGGAACCAACCCCGGAGTCGATTTTTGGAAGAAATGGTGCGAAGATCGGACAAAATGAGGAAGCAGCCGAAGATCACGGTCCAAGCAGGAAGTTCACGGTCATCAAGACTGTGAACTAGAGCCATAAATTATGAAATGGCGTGGTTTCGGGGCGATTCTACAGGTTACTGGCATCAGGTTAGTTCACGGTCGCAAGACCGTGAACTAAAGCCGTAAACCGTGAACTCGCTAAATAAAACAACGAGTTCATGGTCCCCACTTTGGGATGAGTTCATGGTCACCGCTTTTAGTTCACGACCGTCAACTGGGACCGTGAATTGGGGGCATTCTGTGTATAAAAGGAGATTTGAAAGGAAGAAGAGGGGAGAGCCCAAAGTGAGAGAAACCTTATTCTTCTTCTTCTTCAAGAATCTAGAGAGAGAAAGCCACGAACCAAGAGGGAGAAGAAGCTAGGGTTTGCTCCAGCTCCAGGTCAAGATTTGGGAAGTTCCTCTTCAAGAGAGGATCACTACAAACACAAGGGACGATTGAGGCATCACAATGATTGTTTTTTCCTCTTTCCTTTGTGTTCTTCCTTCTTCTAGCATGGAGTAGTCTCCTATTCACTAGGGGTGTTGTACAACCCTAACTCCTACCATGTAGTTGATTGTGTGGATTGAATGATTGTGTGTGGGTGGCGTTTAATTCGAAATTTGAGGTATTTTTCATGGTGACTGTGCATTGTGTGTGCTTGGCAATCTATTTTGCTATTCTAACCTAGCTTAGAGGGAAACCCCCTTATCTTAAGAGGCTCAAATTTAGCTGAGTTTTCTTGGGCAGTCCATGCCTCATATCTAGGTTAATGCAGGGCAAATCTCTAAATTCAAATTGAACACCTAGGTTAATTGTGATTAAGCCATCCAAAACCCCGGTTTGAGGGAGAAGGTAAGTCAACCCTCAATTGCTTAGGCCAAGAGGCCTAGGTTAATCGTAGATTGTAGAGATTTTCACAAACAACAATATGCTAGATAATGTTTCAAACTGTCGAAGTAGGGGTACATGGGCCGGGCCGGATCGATATTTAAACATACTTGCCCTATATTGAAGTAGGGGTACATCTGCCTTCGACCGCAACTTGAAGAGGAAGACCAGAACTCCAAAAATGCTTATGGAACTCTTTCACGTTCTTATCTGCAACTTATGGGCTCCTTTGCTGAGTTACGGGCCAGACCGTAACTTGCAAGGTCTGACCGTAACTCACAGGAGGAAACTGCCCTTCCGCTCCAAAGCATCCTGAACTTCGCTCATTCGCGCCCTTTCACGTGCTAAGTCCTGAAACATCATAAACGAGCACACCCTATCGTTAAATAGGCCACGAGGGCGTAAAACCAAGCGAGAACGGTCAAGAAATGACGGGAAAAACATGTTGGAATATGCCAATATCAGTGAGCGTTGCTATAGAACTCATGATGTTAGTATTTACCTCCCAAGTAAGCTAGTTGGAAGGATTGAAGAGGAAGTGAAGTGTATACTTGAAGCCAAACCCTGAAGCTGTAATGAACAGAAATAGGTTGTTTTTGCATACTCATTTGGTACTTACTGTTTGTACTTGGAGGAGGGATTTGCACTTTGCAACTCCAGTGTTTAATGAAACTTTTTATTAACCATAAAAAAAATTAAATTGTTTGTAATATGTTGTTTCCTTGACAATCAACTAGTCAATAGCATTTTAATGGGAGCTTAATTATCATTATGAAAATGAGACTAATGTTCGACCTACATATTCTTTCTTTATGTATCATCTCGATTGAAATATTGTTAAGAAAATTAAACAGATTGATAAACTTAAATGTGACATAAAATACAAATATGAAAATTCCTGCCAAGGAATGTCACTATAAGCTAACAGAACAGAATTAGAATCATTACCCTCGTTCTCCTGTTTCCTCCCATGTGACCCGAATGATTAATCAAACGGGGGGAGCATTGCTAGACCATAGCACTCAATTTGAAAAATGGAGTACTATAAACTTGAATAAAAATCAAAATTAGGCCTCCAAGGTCTTGGTCGTCGTTGGTCCTAAAATCCAAACGTCTCCAACTCTCCATTACTTTTACTTCCCGGGAAAGACCAGAAGACGCTCAGCAGCACTCCAATTTTATGCCCGAAACGAACACTCAACGGAAGGCCTGAAAATGAAGATCGCCGGCGATCGACGCAATCGCGAAAACGACGGCAACGAACCCATTCTGAGACTACCGGCCAAGAGACAGAGAATATCACCCTTCTAATTCTTCATCCCACCAAACTTTGTCAGCGCCTCACCAGATTCATCCGCCCCTTTCTGTTCAATCCGCTTCCGTCGCCACCATCCACGGCCAGGGTTTCTCCTTATCTTTCTTCGTCGAGAGTTCTGCCTCCAAAGCACGACGTCTTCATCAGCTTCAGAGGAATCGACGTTCGCGACACCTTCCTGAGCCACCTCAACTCCTTCCTTAAACACCAAAAGAAATTTGCTGTCTACAAAGACGATTTAGATCTCGAAAGAGGAGAAGATATCTCGTTGTCGCTGTTGGAGGCGATCGAGAGGTCGGCGGTCTACATCGTGATTTTCTCCCCCAATTATGCAGATTCACCGTGGTGCTTGGACGAGCTCGTGAAGATCCTTCAGTGCGGTGAAAGGTACGGGCGGAGGGTGATTCCGGTGTTTTACGGTGGCGTGGATCCTTCTCATGTCGAAAATCAAACTGGAAGCTACCGGAAGCTCCCGGCGGTGGAGACGGTTGGCAGAATTCGGAGTTGGAGAACTGCGTTGACTAAGTCTGCCGCCATTTCCGGCTTCAGTTCACAAGTTACCAGGTACGGGTTGCATAATTTATCTCGTTTCTTTCATAACCCAGAATCCAATTTGATAGGACTGCTTCTTTGATTTGCTAAATAGCTATTGCTTTTCTCAGACCTGAATCAAAACTGATTGAGGAAATTTCTAGAGCTGTGTTACAAGCTGTATCCGGTCAAATGGTACCGGCTTCATATTCAAAAGATGGGGGTTTGGTGGGATTAGAGAGAAGGGTGAATGAGATAGAACAGTGGGCAACTAGTGAGGGTAAAAATTTGACTATAGGACTGTGGGGGACAGGTGGCATCGGGAAGACAACTCTTGCGAATGCCATATACGATAGGTTCTCTAGTCAATTCGAACGTTCGTATTTTTTGAGTAAGTTCTCAGACAAATTAAGTGGTTCGTCGCAGTTGCGTGATGGCTTGCAAAATGATTTCTTCTCTGCATTGTTGGGTGATGAGAATGCAGGGAGTATATCTAAGGATTTGAAAGAGCATCGGCTTGGTCGTATTAGGGCCTTGGTTGTCATTGATGATGTGGGTGATGATGTTGGAGACATCGGACACTTGAATGATTTGTTTAAAGGACAGTATTGTGATTTATTTGCACCCGGAAGTATAATTATCTTGACAAGTAGGAATAAGCAAGTTCTCAAGAATGTGTGTCATCATGTTTATGAAGTTGTGGCTCTTGATAGACATGAAGCTCTTCGGCTATTCTGCTTCCGTGCATTCAAGTTGCCTTATCCTCCAAGCGAGTATGAGGAGTGGTCCAAGAGAGCTATCACTTATGCGGAGGGTAACCCCTTAGCTCTCACTACTTTAGGCTCGCATTTGTATGACAGGGACCAAAACTTTTGGGCTATCGAGTTGAAAGCCTTGGAGCGTCACCCAAATCAAGCGATAGAGAGAGTCTTTAGGAGGAGTTATGATGGACTAGGTCAAGTAGAGAGAAATGTATTCCTTGATATTGCATGTCTTTATGGTCGATACGAGATCGAAGTCAAGGAGTTGGAAAGACTATTGGATGGAAACTATGTTGAACATGGTGGGAGTGAAAACCTTATTACTAAATTTATTGACAAGTCTATATTAACAGCGGACCGCGTTTCTCATTATGGTACCGTAAAAATGCATGGGTTGCTGAGTGATTTGGGCCGTAGCATTGTCAATGAAGAGTTTCGACTTGAAAAACGTTCATGGTTGTTTGAAGCTCAAGTCGTATATGATCTCTTTAAACAAGAAAAGGTATGTGCACATAGTATACAATGTTCCAATTCCATGCTAAATTGACACATAACCTCAGTTTCAAGTTGTGCATTGACTAAATAACTGAGCTTTGTCAAGTAATTTTCCCTTGTTATTTCCTCCACTAAACAGTGCTGTAAAGTCACCCGAGGCATTTGTTGGAACTTATACAGTGGTGGTGAGTTAAGGACAGAGGCAATACACATGCAATCTGAGGCTTTTGTGAAGTTGGAAAATCTTAGATACCTTGTCATACGTCGATTTGATTTTTTTTGTACAAAGGACGGGTTGAGATACCTACCAGAATTGGTTCTTCCTGAGGACGGGTTGAGATGCCTACCAAATGCATTGAGAATTTTAAAATGGGACTCATTTCCTATGAGATGTTTACCTTATGAATTTTGTCCGGAGAATCTTACGTCACTGTCTTTGCCTTCAAGCAACCTAGAACGACTTTGGGACGACACGTGGAATGTGGTTCGTATAACTATAACCTATTTTGTGTGATATCTCTCTTTTATCTATTTGTTTGCTTTTCAGCTTTTAAGTTTATCTTATCGACATGCAGGACTTGAGAAATTTGAAGTTCCTTGATCTAACCAACTCTAAGTACTTGAAGAAGTTGCCTGATCTCTCTACCGCTGAAAGACTGGAAGAAATCCATCTTACTTACTGTGTCGGCTTAGTGGAGCTTCCTCGGTCGATTGTGCATCTGCCCAAACTGGAAGTCCTCATTTTAGAAAAGTGTACCAGCCTGAAGTTGAATGCATTTGGATATTACACAGATGTCAACAAGGACGACAATATTGCTGCCATTTTCCCAAAACTAAAACGATTGAACCTAAGTGGGACATCAATTCAAAACCAGAAGTTGAAGGAGCTGAAGAAGTTAAAGGGGTGTGACGAAATTTCGGCCAATGATCAAGAGCTTATTCATTTCTGTGATCTTATTTTTCAGTCGAAAGCTCTTATGGAGATCCGTTTATCTATTTGCATCCTGCTGAAGGAACTTCCAGAAATCATGGTGCCCTTGGAAGCTTTATCACATCTTGATCTAGATGGGTGCACCAGTCTATCACGACTTCCATATAGCATTTGTAATCTAGGACACTTGGAAGTTCTTAGTCTGTCCCATACAGCAATCCAAGAACTGCCAGCCACTATTGGAGATCTCGCATGCTTGATCAAATTGCTACTCTGCTTTTGCACAAGTCTCAAACACCTTTGCGGCACAGTTCACAAGCTATCCAAATTGGACCACCTCGACTTGTCTGGTTGCAATCAACTCAGCCACTTACCCGAGCTTCCTTCATCCTTGACAAAGTTGAATGCATATGGCTGCACCGCACTTCAAACCATGTCAAGTAGCAGCTTGAGTAAATATAACTTATTGGAGATGAGATGCAATTTTGGAAACTGTCGAAAGCTGGATTCAGACGTCTGCAGTATGCTTTTCAAGAAGGTACTCCATTCACTGTTTTGAATTTTATGTGAGACTCATATCATGATCATATCGAGTTAATTTGCAGTTCACTCAAGATCCCTTGGGTACACGCACGAAGAATCAGCGACTTCCATGCCTCGTACTTCCAAGAGGTTGGATTAGTCCTGATGGATGGAGGCCTTCTGGGCTTAATTCTATGGTGACAGCCACACTTGGTCGCCTATGGGAGTTGAAGGGACTAATCTATTGTGCTTCATTTCATAGCAAAGTTGTCCATCCAACCACCTCCTTTAACTCATGGGCTACATTCAGTGTTGCGTGTCACAATTTGTCCAGCACTGGTGGCAGGGATGTTATAGCTGCGAGTTCTTGCAGGGGGATTATCCTGTATGGCGAAGACCTTGATTCAGATGACCAGGGAAGTAACCTATTAATATGGTACGATTCTGAGCTTAGCTGGATGAGGGAGGTTTTAGTACCTCTGGATTCTTCTTCCATAGGTCAGGAGACTGCAGTTATGAACGATGCTACCATTCAATTCGTGTTTCGTGCCTCGCGCAGAGACTATCCCAAGGGAGGTTGTATTGTTGAAGTACCAATCATGGTCAACAATTGTGGGGTTATACCGGTTTACCACAACAGAGTGATAGTAGTAGATGATGACCACATTTGATCTTCAGAGAGCCTCCATGGGACAGTATTGTTAGCGATCACACAGGCAGTTGAATTGGTGAACGAATTTTAATGGCGGGTGGCACATCGTCAGTCAATCATCCTCATTCTCAATCTACAAGCCACGCCATAGTCCTCACTATATCAATCACAGTTAAATGGGTGTTGGTGTGTGTATGCGACAGGTTTTACTTTTCTTATTCCGGTCTTGCCGTATTGTAATGAAATCTAATTCTATGTTCTTTGAATTATACTTTATACAGGTGGCTTCTATCCCTCAATATTTGTACTGGGCTGTACAGGTATGTAAAGTCTATGTCCTTTCGTTTATACTTTATACGGAGCAGTTTCTATCCATTCACCTGTAGTATAAGCACTGTTTTATAGGTAAATATATGTTACGCTTATCCCATTAAAATTTCACCTATCAGAGGGCCACTTGATGATAGTGTCGTTTTTTTCTGTGGTTTTGGCAGGATCAACGTTGGTCAAAAGCCATTTGCATTTGACATCAAGGCAATATACCACAAGTTTATCGATGCTTGCTAGCTATGAAGTCCCTGATGAGGAAAAAGTTAAGGTTGCGGCAGCTAACTTCGAGAACAAGCCAGATGCATGGTTATGGATGTGGAGTAGCGGACGACCAGTTCTGATTTGGAGTGAGTTCATCGATGCCCTGTGTATAAGTTTTGGATGGACTGGGGGTTAACAGTTTCCTCAACTTCCAAAGATTCTCCTTCTTTGGTTGCTTCTGATTCTTTTCCTTTGAATGAGCAAATGGTTGTTTGTGATGGTGCTATTCCTGCTATTGCTCAGGAAGAAATGGGGCAGAGTAAGGACTCAGCTCCACACCTTGAAGTCATGAACACACTGGGAATGACATAACAATTGAAGTGTTCCCTAGTATCGAGGCCTGCATCGCATCAGCATTGACCCTGAAAAGTCGAACTTGGATGAAGGGTCTGTGCTGTTTGAGAAGGCTTTGGAAATGGGTCTTGCTGTGTTTTCTGGTTATTAGGATTTAAATCATACTCGAGGGAGCTGTTCTCCATTGTTTGATGATGTCAAGTTGCTTCTCACGCCGCCTCCAGTGGCAGGCGTGAATTGAGGAAGCAGCAGCATGCAGCAGCTGAGAGATTGTGCGACATAGGCCAGCAGAAGATGCTTCCTGACAAAGATGTTTTTGGAGGCTGCTTATCCCTAGCAGAATTAAATGAGTGTTTTGGAAATGGGAGTTTGGAGTTGATAGATTCGGTCCCTTGCGACTGGGAGTTTGTCTTGCGGCGAGGACATGTATATTGGTGACCTCGGGTGAAGTTTAAAAGCAATTTTTCTAGTCCCAACTTTAAGGAACCGTACAAGGATGCTTAGGCAAGAAAATCTGTAGGCAGGGAACTATTTGGTTGGGCAACTCTTGATGCTTGGGGGTTACCGAGCTGCAAGGCTACTGATTCAAATAGTTGTGAGATGTATGAGCAACCTTCTTGATTTCTTGATCCCCTCTCCCACCAATCAATTCCTTCTTAGTAGGAAGTCGGAGGCACCGAAGAAAGCTCATGACATGAGAAAATTTTATACTCGAACAAAGGCGAGAAAATGGCTGTAATGGAACTACGTGGACTGTTGGCATTGTGCATGAGTTTCATTGTGGCATTTATTGCTGTGATTTTGTTTGTTCTCATGGCAGGGACAAGATCATAGCTTTAAACAGACTTTCAAGGAAATGTTTTGCCTGAGGTTCTTTCTCATGGAAGAGTGATGGTGGAGCATCGAAATATCCGGGCTTGCTGCTGCTTGAGTGCTGTGTGCCATATCGCTGATTGCGGGCTGTTCTTAGCATTGATAATTGCTTACAGCTCATTTCCACTACCCAGAGGAAGCTGCTTGTGTCTACATTAGACAAGTTTGTTATTGTATGCAGGTTTTTGTTCAACCTATGATATCATTTCCGTTGTTTTGTCGTTAGTTCGTTTTCTTGTTGTTTTTCGTTCCTCTTTTCTGTTTTCAGCCTTGAGGACAAGTCTCAAGGGGTCGGGATTTATAATGAACAGGATCTACTTTTACTAAGGTTTAGTTTGGTGAACATTCTGTAATTAGACCATATAAATAAAAATCAGCTGTAACCGAGAAGAGTACCGAATAACAGAATTACAGACTCTTTTCCCTACTTCTTCTCCTCTATTGTCTTTCTCTTCTAGGATGGCAATGGGTTGGTTTGGGTTTGGGCTCGTGCCCTACGACGAGAATCGATCAGACATCATAATTACAGGATATATACATGGGCAGGCAGTGGACAATGGTCACAGATGTTACCCTCTGGATGAGCACTGATGGTTGTTTCTTTTTGCAAGACTTAGGGTTGGGTCGGGTTTTGCTAAACCCATGGGTTTATCCGTGAAAAAAATTCGAGGTAAAATCCACTGGGTTTGAAAAACTAAAACTCAACCCGCTGGGTATCTGCGGGTTCACGGGTTTTTGTCTTTAAAAATTTACAATAAAAAGTTCTTATCAAAATAAAAGTCAAATATCAATCTCTCAATACAAATTATCCACATATAAAACACCATTATAGAAAATTCAAGCAAATCACAAATTAACCATACAAATTGTTCAACACCAATCTAGTAAACTCAAGAAAATTGATGTAAATCTCAAATTATCCATAAACAACACGATTAATTGAAAGCTTCTTCCTCCTTGTCAATTAAGTTTTTTCACTCTCCACATGATAATATCAACTTCATTCTAGACAATTAGAATGAAAAAATTAGGCATGTCACCACAAACATAAAAAGGATTAGTTGTTTAGAATATTAAATATACCGGGAAAATTAATTATATTAGTGTGGGCGGGTACCCGTGGGACGGATTTACCTAAACCCAAACCCAACCCAGTGAAAAATGAACGAGTTTAAACCCAAACCCGGTCCAAAACCCATCAAACGGATTTTATCCGCGTTGATCGAGTTGGGTCGGTGAGGATACTCGTGAGTTCGGGTTTTATTGTCATCCCTATTCTCTTATCTTCTTTCTCAATATTCATCTGCAATTCTCTCTGTTCTTCCTTCTTTCCTTCCTTTGTCTCTCTTTTCAATGCTCAATTCATTCTCCTTCTCAATTCAGTACAGTATCTTCTAGCCGGAATCGATCCCCATCAGATCTGGGCCATTACACTGGGTGGGAGAGACAAGAGAGACCCGACCTCGACAGTTGACTTCTTCTCTTCTCCTCTAGTGTTAGCACTCTAACCTTTGGTAGTAATTGTGTAGTAGTAGTTCATATATGTAGATATTAGTGGCTATTTCTAAGTATTGATTCTTAGGAGGTGACATGTATGTCACTGTAACTTGCACTTTTTGGTGGACCTTATATAGGATTAGGTTGACCTAATATGCCGTTTTAGTTTTGTGAGGTTCAACGACGCGGTTGACCTTTTATAGCAAATGGTCGACCTCTTTGGGAAGCGAACACAATGAAAGGTCGACCCAAATTCCTCATAGGGCGACCATTTTGATTAACTAAGGTCGACCTCATAAGTACGAGGTCGACCGCGTGCACACCGTATCCGTATTGGATATGGATTCCAACACCAGAAAGGTAACTCTAACTTATCTACCACTTCATTCGACCCATTCTCATCCTAAATATCTATAAATACGAATATATGTCACCTTCATCGCCACCGAAACTCTGAATTAGGTTTTTTTTACGGTTAGAGCTGTTGTGAAGAAGATTCTTTGTTGTTGCTGCTGTACGTGATTCAAGAGGTCGACCACGTCGAAGGTGAGGTCGATCTATTGTAGCTGTCGTCATATTGTCTAATGCGTAATTTGCACCGTTTAGTTTGATATTTTGTTGCATGCAGAATACCATGCAGAATACTACATTTTAAAGGTCGACCGCAATAAGTCCTCAGGGTGCCCACATTAGTGTACTCGGTCGACCACTGTTAGGATTAGATCGACTGATAAGTACAAGTTACGCTGACATGCATGTCACCATAAGCATACCCTGATTCTTAATATAATCATTAAACTATTGGCAGTGTTCCACTTACTTATGATAGTAATTCTTTTACGTAATTTGTAGTAGTTTTTTTATTATTTTCGGGAATAATTCTTATTAAGTTTTGGCAATCACTACTAATTACTGGAGTTCAAGAAGGCATAATTATGCGTACACCTAGGTTCATTTAGGCACTAGGCAGTGACAAAACACCTCGTCAAGAAGACAAGTCACTTTATATTGTCTAGGCAACGCCTAGATGGAGTTAGACACAATTATTCAGCTTAAGGTGTGATTAATCGAAGTGAGATACGTTAAGCGTATTGATAAAACAAAGACTAAAATATTTTATAGCTAATCTTTCCAAAATGACATGTTCTCCATATATCATATAATCGATTCGACCGTTGTCGTGCTCTTATTCATGGTCGACTATAGACCATCTACAACTACGACTTTTATAAACTTGTGGTTCTAATTAATCATTACATATTTTGCTTGTTGTTGAAGGTTATGTAAGTTATTAATCATTTGAAATTAAACTTAAGGGAAAAAAGATATAAAATTGTTATTTCTGTTGAAAATTGCTATTTATACTAAACGCTTAGGCAGGTCTGTTAGGCATACTAGGCACTAGATACAACCTCAATACACTAATTAACAATTGGAAGTTTCAAATAGGGTTAATACCTTATTTTGGCCTAAACTATGACCATATAATCAATTTTGCAACATATAAACTCAATTAGCCCGACACATGGTTTGACCGTTAGTCAATACGCCATGTCATTGCCTTGTCAGCCTAAAAATTATTAAAAAATTCAAATTCAAATTATGTTCCTAATTTCTAATATTTATCATTATAATATTAATCAAAATATAAAATAGATTTTATTATCTATGTTTTGGGTAATTTGAAAATGATAAATTTTGTGAATTAATAAAAAAATTATCAAATTATTTATATTTTATAAATTACCCTAAAATAAAATAAAAAATTAAATGATATTTTTTAAATTTATAAAATTTAATTTGATAATTTTTTGTTAATTTTTAAAATCTATCAGTTTCAAAAATCGCAAAAAAATTATTTCCTTTTTTTCAAATTTATTTTTTGGTTAATTTAAAATTGATAAATAATAGAAATTAGGAAAATAATTTGAATTTGAATTGTTTTAATGATTTTTAGGCTAACGAGGCAATGACATGGTGTGTTGGCCGTTCAAATTGATGGTCAAACCATGTGTCGGGCAATTGAGTTTATATGCTGCATAGTTGAGACGAGGATGTTAATTTCTGAAACCACAGACCAAAATTGATTATATGGTCATAGTTTGGGCCAAAATAAAGTATTAATCATTTCAATAGTGCACAAATTTTTTTTATGAATGGTATAAAAGGACATAAATTCAGTATTACACATGTGTCCAACTATTCCAGCTATTAAAATGAATTTTCATACCAAGGAAAGTGGTTCAAGAACTCTTTGCTTCTCATTGATAAAGAAAAGAAAAGCTTACAACATTTATAATGGTCCCTTTAACTCCAAACAAAGCCAGAGCATCTTGATAAGTCGGCTAGTTCAAACATATGGTGGGTCCATCAAAATTTTGGTCTCCCTACAATTCAAAGTACTAATCCATTTTGAGTTGCTGCTAACCATCTTTGAGAGCTTCTCCAATTAGGACCCAATAATTTGGGCAATGTCTATTTTTTACCCAAACCTTTTTCAGATTCTTTTATTTTAACCATACCTATTGAATTCCTAAAAATTATCCAAACGTTAACTCTCCGTCAACTTTTCTGTTAGTAATGCTGATTAAGTATGACCATAATGAGTTGACTTCCTACGTGGCAGTCAGAATACCATCATTTACTATTTTTAATAAAAAGATTATCAATAAATAAAACAAAATCCCACCTCTCACGTGGACGAAATAAGTAACGGTAACAGAATGAATGCCCAGACTTTGATAAATTATAATACGTTTGGATAATAAATAGAATTTTTATAGGTTTGGTTAAAATAAAAGAATCTAAAAAAAGTTTGGGTAAAAAATAGACATTGCCCCAATAATTTCTTCTGCTCGAAAGATGGTGATGTTCCTGAACCATGAGCAGCTTGGTCTCATTTTTGGCCTCTTGGGTAATTCTTCTATATATAAAAGCTGGCTACATTTTATTGGCCTAAATTGTATGTTATTTATTCAGGCTAGTTATTCTGCTAACTTGAAGATTCGTTAATATATACTAACTAATATCCAAAATGTATGAACTAATATCAAAGTCTGTTGAGTATCTAGATAGCACAAACTAGTATTCAAAACATCACAAACTAGTATCCATATAGCAGATACCAACTAATATCCACAATCAACCAACTAGTATTCAATATGGATACTCTTATGTGTTATCTGGATACTGATTATGTGCTGTTTGGATACTATTCTGTGTTGTTTAGATATTAGTTTGTGAATTTGGGATAATAGTTGATTCATAGTGGATATCAGTTAACAAACTTTGAATACTAGTCTGTGCTCTCTAGATACTTTAGTACTTGGATATTAGTTCATGTATTTTGGATATCAGTTAGTATCGACTAACGAATCTTCAAGTTAGTCTATTAACTTTCCCTTATTTATTGGCCTAAGTTGTATGTTTTGTGAGCTGGGGCTAAAACAACTTTCATGCACCCGACGCAAAAGTGCTTTCCCTTCCCCGTTCCCATCTCTGTTACATGTCTCTTCATTCCCCATACTTTTCACATACTCCATTCCTTTACTGCCTTACCCCAAAATCCACAATCACAAGTCACCAGTTTAGTCTTCTCCATCCTATCACAACTGCTCTACACGCCACCAGCCATGATTTCTACAATACTGACCTTTCCTGGAACAAGAGAAGACTTGATAGCTCCTCCATACCTGGGTCGCCGAAAAACCATTTACAGCAGCGGGTTTGTCGGTTTTGCTGATTTTGTGTGGCCACTAAGCAGAAGAGAATTAAAGAAGACTCTGCTCTCCTTTCCCTCTACGTCCCGAACGAATCTTTACTTCCCCTTTTCTCCAACCGATGCTTTATAAGATTCCCTGATGATGATAGAGGGCAGAAATCGGGAGAGGGAAAGTGCTGGGAAGGAGGGGCCAGCATCTGCGATCGGTT